TTAATCAATATAAACTTTGTAATTGCGATAACGTTCGAGACGAGAACTGAATAATATAGAATATCGAATTCAATTAATTATATAAAAGCGAAGTTAGCTTCATCCGAAAACAGACTTAGGTACGATCTAATATAAAGTATTACCTAGCGAGAGTCATTTAGTTAGATTCATAATTATCTATTACGTATTGCTTAATTTGCCAAGTTCTGTTATTTCTATTATTAATATTATATCAAGTCTATTCTAGTTTCTTTAATCAAACCAGTATACTTTTCATATTTTGTTATTTGTTACTTGTTATTTGTTAAATTCATCATCTTCGTTATTTTATTGAATAAACCTAATTGTTGAAAGATTTTGACCTGTGGATTTCAATCCTTAACCGCACACCACACGAATCCCACAATCTATATTCGCGAAATCGAGTCGTTTAGAGGTAAAAGCCGCTCTTTACCTTTTAGCGCTTGTAACTAACTAAACTTAGGTTCCAGAGTCGTTACACGTTTTTAATAACGAAAAAATAAATTTGGTGACAGCGGTGGGATACGTGGTAGGAGAACTTTTCTCTGCGGAGGCCAAAATCTTTCATCTCTGAAATAAAAGATAAACGCGTAATAAAGCATACAAGTAGAAGACGATCTAGTTAAAGAGAATAGGAAAAATTAATAAATAATACATACATATATTAATTAATTAACTATAGTAGCTTAGATTTTGTAATCCAAAATGGAAAGGGAATTAGAAGCCCAGGAAAGCAGTTCAGAAACTCAGGAAGAGAGAATTACTCCTCCTTCTCCTCAGATTAACATTCGAGATGCCGCGGATATTGTGCCACCGTTTGATGGTCACAATATTCCTTTATATCAATTCATGAAAAGTTGTATAAATGCGAAAGGTATTATTTCCCCTTATGCCGAATACGGTCTGGTACAATTAATCAAAAATAAATTATTCGGTCAGGCGTCTAGAGTAATTGCGAGCGGTGATTATAATACTGTTAGTGAATTAATTACTGTTTTGAAATCGCGTTTCGCACCATTATACACTTCTTACCAATTATATGGAGATCTTTCTAAAATGGCACAAATGCCAAACGAGGCGGTTGTAGATTACGGTAGTCGCGTATCAAGCCTCTTATCACAAATTAAAAATTGTAATGAAATGGAACAACCACAGTTAGCGCCGCAATATAATAAAACCGCCGAAAGTAATGCTATTAGAACATTCATGACGGGTTTAAGACCAGAAGTTTATAATAGACTGCGACACCACGAATACATATTTCTCGACGATGCAATTAGCGCGACGATTCTCGCCGAAGCAGAACTTAGGGAGAGCCAGGTCCGATTGAAAATGGCAGATGAGTATGCTCGCGTTAGTAATCATAAGCGCCCCAATTATATGTCAGGATCCCAGCAAACCGCGACGGTACAATGGCAACAAAAATACTGTCTTCATTGCGAAAGATTAGGGCACCGAACCTCAGATTGTCGTAGATTTAACCAACACGGAAGACCCGCGAGAACAACCAACCTAGAACTACCACAACCACAGCACATAGTACCACGCACTGCACCAAGTCCAAATAATCAAGTAGCCAGTCCAATCACTATTCTCAGAAGGCCCCCAGTAGCCAGGCCTCCCCCTCCTACCTGTACGTTCTGTGGAAATATTGGCCACACAATCACACAATGTAGGAAGAAGGCTTATCAAGACAAAAGAGCCGAACAAGCTTATCAGGATAAGAGAGCCGAACAGGTGCGTAGTAGTACAAACCTCATAGTCCCCACTAAGATTATTAAAAAGCCCCCTAGTATTGAAGCAAAAAATAAGATTTTCCAAAGCGGGTCAGCCTTATTCATGATAGATACAGGGTCAGACCTAAATTTAATTAAAGAAACATCATTAGTATATCCCACTCAAATCTATACCGACGTCTGTCTGCAACTAAGCGGAATAACAAAAGGAAAAATTTCTACAACAGGGTACATCAAAGTGAAGATATTCGACCACGAGACCATATTGCATATCGCCGAAACCTTACCAATAGAACAAGACGGAATCCTCGGAAACGAATTCTTTCAAAGTACAGAAGCAGTTATTAATTACCCTAAAGCGATTGTAATCACCAAGGACTTCACCATACCATTTGAAGAACCAGTTATTCACATAAAACCTAGGGAGAGAAACGTAATACCAATCAGGGCCCTAAATAGTCATGTCAGCACTGGATACGTCCCAAAGTTAGATATAAATCCCAATTTGCATCTCGGTAACGCTATAGTCACTAATAGAAAGGGAGTAGCTTTTATTTACGCAATTAACGTTTCTTCCGAAGAGATAAAAATTCCCATGCCTGAGGTAGAGTTACAGCCTTTCGAAGAATCACCCGTAGAAAACTTACAAACTCCGGATACATTTAGGATACAAAACTTACTTAAACTATTGAGATTAGATCATTTAAATGACGAAGAAAGGGCTAGCATTGAAAAACTAATAAAACGACACGCGGATAGGTTTAATCTACCGGGAGAAGATTTAGCAGCAACGGATAAAGTATATCATAGGATTATTACCACCGACGACGTACCAATTAACGTAAAACAGTACAGATATCCACAAAGTCAAAAAGAGGAAATCAACAGGCAGATTGACGAGCTTCTCGAAAAGGGGATTATTGAACAATCAACTTCACCTTATAATTCCCCTTTATGGATCGTACCAAAGAAAGAAGATTCTCAGGGCAAAAAGAGGTGGCGATTAGTCATAGATTTC